CGCATAGAGGCAACCAGCTGTACGTGCCATCATTGTGCCATAGCAAGTAACTCCATCCCTTGATCATTCATTCCGACATCATAACTGAACCTAGTCCAACGCCTTACTGGCCCGTAGGCGGCGCGTCGAACTTGGGGATCTGGGTAGCAGTGTTCTGCGCCGGCACGTTGGACGGCGCAGTAGCAGTCTGGGTGGACTCGACGGCGGGAGCATTCGCAGGAGCAGAACCGGGAGCGTCAGTCGCCTTGGGCTTCTCCTTCTCGGCGCCGAACACCTTGTCGAGACCAGCAGCCTTGTAGGCGCTACCTCCGTGCTCCTGCTTCTTCAGCTCGGCGAGGCGGCGGGCCTCGTTGTGGATGTCCTCGACCTGGCGCTGGCCGTTGGTGTAGAACTGCACGAGCTTGCGGCCCGTCGGGGTGTTGGTCGCCTTCTCAAAGTACGAGCCCAGGCCAGACAGCAGGCCCGAGGCGCGCTGGGTGATGCCGTAGCTCTGGTCGACCGTCTTGGCGCGGTCGGTGGCGTGGTACTTGTTGTCGAGGCTGGTGAGGGTGTTGAGGAAGCGGGACGAGACGCCGTGCTGCTCGTCCAGGTCGATGGCCTTCTTGAGGCTGGCGTCGGCCACGACGTAGCCGTGGGCCAGGTACTCGGCCAGGATGCGCGAGCGGGGCTTCTCCTCCTGCGTGATGTCGTCCGTGTCGCGGTCGTCTTGGTGCTTGTAGCCGCTGTCGGACTTGTCTGCGTCGGTGGAGCCCGTCACGGTGATCTCGTTCTCGCCGAGCTTGGTGTGGTTGAGGAGGAGGGCGGTCTTGGCGGCCGTCTCCTTCTCGAAGGTGACGACTGCGGACTTGGATGCGCCTTCGCTGGTCACCTTGATGTCTGTGATCTTGCCGCTGTTACCAGGTTAGCTATGTAAAGACTGGAGGCTGTTGCTTGGTGAGAGCTTACCAGAAGCTGAAGAAATCCTTGATCTCCTTGTCTTCGGTCTTGGCTGCGATGTTCGCAACCTGGACGGTGTTGGGTGAAGTCATCTTGTCTGATTTATGTGGTGGGTTGTTATGGAGGGTTGATATGGGAAGTTCGTTGTGTTTAGAACGGTATCGCGAGGATAGATGATTGTTTGGTTATGATTGAGAGTCTAATGAGGAAGCTTGAAGTGACGACGTGGTAGTTTTAATAGTCGAGTTTGGGGTTGCGTGTCTAGGGTCCCTGCCAAGAGTGGTTGTGTATTGCCTGATGTCAGTGGAATCGTGGAGCAAGCCGTGGAGAGGAGGCGGACATGTTGTCATGTCGTCATCCCGGGAGCTACGTATGCTATGGAGGGGTATCGTGGCTGTGCACTCTAACCGTTTCTGGTCTGGACCCCTGGCTCCTTGGCTGCAATCACATGCATTTCACTGTGTGGCGTGAACTTGATGACGTGTGGCTGGAGCTCTGTGTCTATCTTGTGGCTGGTGCCTAAGTTATCTTACAGGGTTCCTGTAACGACGTCTGTTTCACCTGTTCACAGTCCTCTCCGTCCAACATTGGTTCCGGTCCAAGCTGGGCAAGACCATCCACAGCATTTCAGCTATGGTATCCGTTCCGTCGAGAAACGAAATGGATAGTAGGCAAGATATCCTGAATCCTGCATATTCGTCGTCTCCAGCTCAAGAAACGACAGTGGTGAGATCAGACACGACCTTATATCGGGGAAGCCCTGACCTGCAAGCACCTTTTCCCAGCCCGAGACCGGCCGTTGACTCCTTAAAGCAATGTGTTTTTACAAAAGCAGAACCGATGGTCCCTCCGGGTATATGTGCACCGTGCCATATTCATGAGATGCTGTCTATTTCCCCGCTGCGAGTGCGGCATCAGTTGCGACGGCCGCAGCAGCTGTATCGGTAACCGCGGCAGCATCAGTGGCCGTAGCAACGACAGCAGTGTCGGTGGCGGTTGCAGCAACAGCAGCAGCCGAAGACGCCGAAGCAGCAGCGGCTGAAGAAGAAGCAGCAGCTAAGAAGCGAACACATCAGCACGAGAGCGATAATAACGTTGGGCGGTGGTCTTACCGGCTGCAGCGGCCTTGCCCTTGCCTTTGCCCTTGGCCTTTGCCGCCTTTGCCTTGGCTTTCTTCCCCTTGGCCTGTCTCTTCTCGATGTTTGCCTCGGGCTGCTCATCTCGCGCGCCGAGAAGCTTTAGAAGATCGGCGACATTGGCTTGCCCTCCGGCGGCAGCGGCAGCAGCTGCACCAGCTACGCCATCGCCGTTCAAGTCGACGCCCAGCTGACCCTCGAGGCCAGCGAGAACCTGGTCCAGGAGACCTTGGCCGTTATTGTTGGCCTTACCGCCGGCGGCAGCGGCGGTGCTGTTCTGGGCGGCTTGTGCCTTGCCCTTCTTCTTACCCTTGCCGTTGCTAGCTGTTCCGTTGACGGCAGCAGCATCTGTCCCGTTGACGACTGCAGTTGCGTTGGCGGCTACTGCGGTAGCATTGGCGGCGGCAGCTCCTTTGCCCTTGCCCTTGGCATTTCCGCCCTTGGGTGCGCGCGCAAAGATGGAGAGTGCCTCCTGGTGGGGAGCGCGTGGCACGTTTCCCTCGTGAGGTAGGGCGACAACGTATGAGGCTGAGACTGCCAGGAGAGCGAGGACTGTTCCGAAGTTCTTCATTTTGACGTCTGAAGGAGTGTTTGGAGGAGGGAATGAGATGAAGTCTTCTTAAAGGAAGGTTCAAAAGAGCGCAGCTACGGTCCAGGTTAGTGACTCGCAGATATTGATCAAAGTCAGGCAACTTACCTCGTCAAGTCTAGAAGAATATCTATCGAAGAACGGAAGGGACCTGCCGGGAAGGAAAGAATGTAGAACAAAAGACAAAATGTTCGACTTAGATCAGGATGAAAGAAACATCAGAGGACCACGGCTACACTCCGTCTTATATCAATGGATGGCAGACAGCAGTCAGGGGGTTGGTCGAGCTCTCCCAAACATGGTTAACTAGAACAAGCATTTTAGTCACAAGAACCGTGCCTAGCAAGAGACAGAGCTGAAGCATTGAGGTGATCGGTGAATCACGGTGATCAGGATCGCCTGATACACGCAAAGAGACTGGGTATGAGCCCAGAGACAGGAGCAGATTTACCTGGCATCTGCTGCGTTTGGCGCCTACTGCTGATCAAGACCTACGCGGGGAAGAACCGCAAACACGATGATACTTGAGATTCCCAGCTTGCTAAGATCCTCTTACAGGCGATCATACAAGTGAATCCCGGTAGAGGTCCAGACTTTCAATCAGAACAGCAGGTCGAGCCGTTTTGGTGGGGCTGCAGGGGGTTTCCAGACGGAGGCTCAAACACGGACGAGCTCCAACGAAGCCTGTCAGGTTAAGAATAGAATGTCTACCAGGGCATCTAGAAGGCGTGCTCAGCACGACTGTAACTCTATTGCAACTGCCCTAGCAGATTTTGTCCTTAACAGGGTCACTATCCCGGCCCGTTCACATGCTTAATGACATTGGGAAGCAACCTGACAGCATCGCCGTGTTTGATACTCGGTTGATGTAGGCACAAGGTTCAACCTCCGTTCCATTACTTGACACAACCTTTCGCAGGCGGATAGCAGTGACATGGTACGATCGAGCCTCAAGGATAACTGCAAGCAGAAGACCCCATATCTCGTGCGGTCGATGGACGGGACGAACGAGACTGCCATTGCATGTTTTGCAGTTCGCTGAGTTCATATTATGTGAGTCACGGACATTACTCGTAAGAAGGGAGAGAAGGATGATGGTTAGTCTATCTAAGAAGACGATGTGAAGCTCCAGTGTGTCAGCAGGCGGCTACCCAGGCAGTTATTATATACATCCAACATGCCTTCTATCACACAGCACTTCAAGATATGGGCGGAGTAGAAGATCGTCTAACCGCTGTTGAGCTACTGACGAATTCTGTCCCTTCTTCTCAAGCACTGGCTGCTCGCGCAGCAGCTTTCCTACACCACCATTAGCAGCAGGCCAACTAGAGCCCATGTACTTTACCAACAGGAGACACACGTACAACCATATCACATCCAAGATCCGCCAACTCGCATCGCTGTTGCTGGAATCCTCGCATTTATGATCAAACGACGGGACTGGGTGGCCAGGATCAAGGCCCAAAGCGTCCCCAAGAACGAGACCGAGGAGTGCGCCGACAGGGTTCGCCGTGGTGATAACCAGAAGTGACACCAAGGCAGTGAACAAGATGGCTGACGAGAACATCATGTCTGGATACTTGAACAACAGCAACTACCTTATCTGCAAATGTCGCAAACGCTTAGAAAGATTGCGATCAGACTCGCAGACCTACCTAAACCTACGACTTCCATGTCCGGTGCTGGTCTTATATCTTGCCAGATCGAACTGGCTTATCTAGGAATCTGTAGCTTATGCTCAGCTCTTTGGTGACAACACTCGTCCAATGCCAGTCCATGTTGTCATCTGCTCTTCGAAGGCACCCACTTGGCGCCGAGAAGATATGACGAGTGCAGGATTCTGACTATCAGCCTTGATGGCCAATGAGTTGCTGTAAAGCCAGACAACGGTCCGGCCTTTAAGGCGCGACTGATATTCCTGTGCAACCTCATGTCTGTGTTTTGCTATCTTCCTCCAATGGAGTAGGGCAAAAGGATCAGAATCTCTGACGAAAACCAAGCCATCCACTCTCAATGTTCTGATGTGCTTCTCCTGTCAAGACGTTCATCAACAGAGAATACCCTAAAGATAACCGTATGCGAATTTGTGTAAGTCATGACCCTCCCCGCGAGGTTATCGTCAAGCAACTTTTCGGTCGGAAGCGAGGGAAGATCAATCACAACAGTTCTTTTCTCGCCACAAAGCCACTCATTGCCTAACACTTACTAGGACAAAATTCTAGCTATGATGTAGATATAGCCCCTTATATGTATGTGGAAATAAGAAGCGACAGACAGCCTGAGCACTGATCGACGAAGAGAAAGAAAGAGAGGAATGGAGTGTAAAAACGCAAAAAGAGAGGTCGTGCCCGGATTCGAACCGGGGTCACCGGAAGATTCTGGAGTTCAGAATCCGATGTGATAACCAACTACACTACACAACCTTCACGATACCCAACTGGTCCTCGTTTGATGGGGTGAGACGATTCTAAGACAGCTTATGAGCAAAAGCTGGTTCTAGAGGTATCAGGGGGGGAAGGTTGGTGTGGGTGGAACCTCTTGACACATAATTTTTCACAGTCCCCGCCTCCATGCACAAGCCTTGCATGTGCATGCTACCTAAGACTGTAGAGGTAGTTTACAATCAGCTGGCGACAGGTGCCACATCTGCTCCGTTATCCATCCTGCCAGGTTCCAGCGATTTCCTCAAACCAAAGCATCGACGGGAGTTCGAAGATTCGAAAATGGCATTGCAAATTGCCCATTGCGAACAGACCCCTCCCGCTATGATCGTGGGAAACTCACGCTCTGTGACAGCGCGACCGCGTGGCCGGATAAATCGAAGAGACAGCTTCGACCACCTTGAACCAATCGACAGCCTCAGTCGCCCTCCCACATCAGCAAGGTAGGGTACCTGGTGATGGCGGGTACCTCAATACGGGATAAGATCAATTGCCACTGCCCTGACAGAAGCGAGTGGCTTGTCCCGTGTTTCCAGAAACTGTGTTTTGACATGCTGTCTGCTTGATGCCCGGATGGCGGATGGAGATTCCCATGTTTATCTGCGACGCTAGAAAGCTGTCAGGCTGTCAACTCACGACAATCCGAACAAGCCGACAGAACGCAGGCGTACGGCTGATCCCGAGTTCATTGCCCTGCGAGTGCAGGAGTTACTTTTCGTTGCAGTATCGCGAGGCTTGCGCATACACGGGTCGCACAGCCGAGACAACCTTAGTCCAGTGACGTGCTGATGCCGTTTGCTTTCGAAGCTATCTCATGCAGCCCACCTGGGCAGCCACCAAGAGCTGCCCTACCAGAGCTCAAAGTCGGTTGCGCCAGCCCGATCTGGTAGCCAACGACGAAAGAGAAGCCCCAGAAAGCATCAGGTTGTCAGGCAGTGCCTGCAGGAAGCCAGCCAGTTCAGCCAACCAGGCCGGCATCGCGGGAAATCCTGCTTTTTGCATTGGCGGGCCGCAATGACGCCCCGGGCCCCGTCCACCAGACCACAAGATCTCGTGTTATCACTTATCGTGCCTGGATCCAGGTGCATTGCTCTCGTCCAACGTCATACTATTTCTCAAACCCACCCGTCTGTCTGGCTATAAGCCGTTAATGAAGCCAAGTTGCTTCGACGGACTTTGTTCTTCCTCGAGCTTGCCCCAATCTCTCCGCCGTATTATAGAGGCCCTGGCTTATACCATATCGCTCTCTGCCTAAACTGCTCGGTCTCTTATAATATACAGATGGATCGCACCAGAGGGCCTTCATTGGCCTCGCCAGCGCAGGAGGCTGCCAAACCGGCGCCAGCTCCCAAGCTGAGGAAGAAGTTGCAAAAGATCAAGCGGCCCGGATCAGGCGTGCCCAATGAGGCGACGAATAATAACGGTACAAACAACAATAAACTCGACACACCACCCAAAATCTCACTGCCGCTTCCTCCTGACCTGAGCGATTCCAAGTGGTCAGAGTACCTCCGGAGCAGTGGATATCTATGTGCGACCTTGGACACCCTACCGCCGATCGACTCTCATAAACCTCTTGTCACCATCATCCCCGAGTTCTCACACCTTGACCAGAACCATGATACGCCACGCTCGTCCGTCGACACCCTTGGAAGCGAATCCACAGATGCATCTACTAAATCAGTGAGACGGCGCGCAAAGACACCCGTCCTCCACATCGGCCAGCTGGAGGCTAGGGCCCGCGCACGGAAACTGGACGAGGCGAATCAGAGAGCGGCGCGTATGAGGGAGGCTATGGAGGAGGCCTGCTGGAAGCAGGCGAGCGCCGAGGAAGCCGTTGCCTATCACCAAGTATCGCAACATCTGAGGCAGAACAATGTGCAACCTCTCCGCGTGAAGGAGGCCACTGCGAAGGAGGCCAGCGCGAACAATCTCACTGTGAAAGAAACCAGCGTGAAGGAGGTCATGGTGAGGGATGCCATAGCTCCTCGAGTTGGTGGAAATGCGGGGAATGTGCAAGGAATCCGGACGAGGGTGGTCAACAACAACGTCGCCAACGTCACGGCAGAGGAGTACAGGGCCCTTGTTGCAACCGAGGATTCGAGGTTCTCAGACTCTCGCCCCGAAACACCACGTTCACAGCAAGAACTGAGAGAAAGGCTCTTGATCCGGCACAAACGCAGATCAGGCGACTTGCGGAGAGAGTCCCGGGAGTTTGAGCTTGTGGCAGACGAGAGTCCGCAAGGGTCGCCGACATCCGATGGCACACTGGTTGCTTTTGAGGAGGAGACCATCTATTTCAAGCCTCATTCTTTTTCGCCCGAGCCGTCATCGCCACTGCACAGCTACAATTCGCCGATGGCTAGCCCACTGCCGACGCCGAACAATATCGGTCTCAAGATCTGTGTCGATCTACTGGCGAGGGACATCACCTCTGCAGTCACTAGGAACGATCAGCAACCGCCAGCAGATGCATCCGCATTACAAATATGGACCATGATCGAAGCATATGAGAAGCTGCGCGACCGAATTTGGGAATCCGACCTGCGGTACGATGAGTTGATGAGCTTGGAGCAGTCGTTCGACATGTGGTTGAAGGCTCTTTCCGCCGCTCATGATCGGTTGACCGGTTCGGACCAAGCGAGTGAGAGCGTATATGACGATTTGGAGCGTGCCGCTCAAGACCTGGAGCTGAACTAGAATTCTTGATACCACCAAGTAGGGACGCTTATTTCTTTTGTTTTAAGGTCGGACTGGCAAGGATGCCGCAGATTGGATGGGATAAGATGATCATGAGATACCTGTTTGCTTTCGGCGTTTTGCTGGTCGTGGACGAGAGAGGCCGGACCGCCGGCGATGTTGGTCTCTTCCTACAGAAATACCTTCACTTCTTTGGATATATTTTATAACTCACGGAACTTGGACATACTGGCTGTCCGCTCAACTTGAGCCGAGTAGAATAAGACAAGACTTGTCAAGCAATGAAGAACCCCGGACTTACAACTCCTGATGACGACAGTGACCCCACGTCCCGTACGCTAAATCTACACGGCCCGTGCTTCTTGTGGGTCACTTTACACAGTAAGTCGACCGCGACAGCCCTCGACTTTCTTTACTTTATCTTTCGCGTAGACAGCAGACTGGTGATACCTTTTTTGTAGCAACGCGTCGCGAAGATGGATGACGACTTCAGTGCCGACGACGACCTGATAGCCGCTCTGGCAGCGGCGGCACCGGCACCAGCTCGGGCTCCTCCTCGGCCGGCCCCGTCATCAAGCCGGCCGAGCCAACCCACGCCGCAAAGGATACAGCAACCCACGCCGCAGCGTCTCGACAAAGCACCTCCGTCCGCTGCGTCGGGCTCCAAGATAGTACAGCCGACTCCCCAAGCCCTGCCGTCTCGATCGGCCGGATCGTCGATCCTGGTGTCGCCCAGGCAGAAGGGCAATCCGGTCCTGGCAAACATCAAGTCGATGCCGTGGGAATACAGCGACATACCAGCCGACTACGGTTTGGGGCTGACTACTTGCGCCCTGTTTCTCAGGCATGCACTCACCTCCTTCTTACCTTCTCATAGCAAAGCATCACTACTAACCGGCCTCTCTATGAACACAGCCTGAAATACCACCGCCTCCACCCAGAGTACATCTACACGCGCATCCGCAACCTACAAGGGAAATTCGCCCTGCGCATCCTCCTGACCATGGTCGACATCCCCAACCACGAGGACACGCTCCGCGAGCTGGCCAAGACGTCGCTGGTCAACAACGTGACCGTCATCCTCTGCTGGTCGGCGGCCGAGGCGGCGCGCTACCTGGAGCTGTACAAGTCGTACGAGCACCAGACCAAAGGCGGCTTCGCGGCCATCCGGGGCCAGCAGGCGACGGGGTACGCGGAGCGGCTGGTCGAGTTCGTGACGGTGCCAAGGGCGGTCAACAAGGCCGACGCGGTGGCGCTGGTGGGGACGTTTGGGAGTTTGAGAGAGGCGGTTAATGCTGATGCCGAGAGGGTGGGGCAGGTGGGCGGGTGGGGGGAGAAGAAGGTCAAGGCGTGGAGGAGGGCGGTGGAGGAGCCGTTTCGGGTCAGGAAGGCGGCTGCTAGGAGGGGGAAGGGGGCCGAGGCGACGCCTATCTCGAGGGTGCCGCTGAGGGAGATGGCTGGGCGCGAGGCGAGTAGGAGTGTTGGGGAGGGGCAGGGTGTTGGGATTGGTCCAAAGCCGCAGACGACGGCGACGGGTCAGAGCCGCGGTGCACCTGCGTATGAGGAGGAGGATGAGGAGGCCATGATTGCTGCTGCTATCGAGGCGTCGAAGAAGACGGCCGCTGTGGAGGCGGGGGAGAGGGCGGATGCTCCGCCGGTGGAAAGACCGGCGAACGAGGAGCTCGGCGAGGGGATAGCGGCCGCGCTGGCGAGACTGAGAGAGAACGGATGATGCTGTCGGCCGCTGCCGGGTAGTATTGGCGATCTGACGGGTCGGACTACCAACACAACGCTTGAATGTCTCATCGCAAGCCATGCCGTTTCCCTTGAACCAACACGGACCCAACGTTACCTCTGTTCAGACGAGGACACTAAGCGGGGCGGTCTCGCAGGAGCACACGCTCGAGCGAGGCATGTCTGACTGACAGCGTGTCGCATCGGATGACACGGCGGACAAGGTCTATGACTCTAGAAGTCCAGGCCAGGAGCTGTGCTCCGCTTGTGCAGATGTCGTGCGCGCGCCGTGGTATTGGTCTGGTAACTTGTGACTAGGCCCGTCAAGCTCGACTGCTTGGAAAAGACAACACATGCCACCGACTTCTGAGCACGAGGACAAGCTTATATGAAGGTGTGGTCTTACCAGTCTGGGTGCATAAGATCAGATGATACCAGATAAAATAAATTACCTATACGTGCCATTGATCGACTGAGGCAATTATACAGAGGGAGCTGGTTTTGCGAGGAATAACTGGCAAGACATGAGGTATCTAGGTCTAGAGCAG